AGCTGGTGAAATTGAAGCAGTAATCAAAAAACTCCCAGCACACAAGAGCCCTGGGCCGAATGGTTTCACAGGAGAATTTTACAAATCATTTAAGGAAGAGCTAACCCCTGTCCTTCTCAGACTATTCCAAAAAATTCAAGAAGAGTAAATACTCCCAAATTCTTTGTATGAGGCCAGCATCATCCTCATCCCAAAACCTGATAAAGACACAACAAAGAAAGAATACTACAGGCCAATATGACTGATGAACATAGACGCTAAAATCCTCAACGACTTATGGGCAAACCACATCCAGAAATACATTAAAAGGATCATCCACCATGATCAAATGGGATTCATCCCAGGGATGCAAGGACGGTTTAATATTCACAAATCAATAAAAATAATACATCACATAAACAAAAGGGAAGACAAAAACCACATGATCATCTCAATAGATGCAGAAAAAGCATTCAATAAGGTACACACTTATTTATGATAAAAACACTCAGCAAAATGGGAATAAAGGGGGCATACCTCAAAATAATAAAAACCATATATGAAAATTCTACAGTCAACCTCATTCTCAATGGGCAAAAACTAAAAGCTTTCCCACTAAGATCGGGAACATGACAAGGATGTCCGCTTTCACTGCTTCTTTTCAACATCGTATTGGAAGTACTAGCCACAGCAGTCAGACAAGAAAAAGAAATAAAAGGCATCTAAATAGGAAAGGAGGAAGTAAAGTTATCATTGTTTGCAGATGACATGATAGTGTACATAGAAAACCCTGTAGACTCTACCAAAAGACTCCTCAGCCTAAAAAGTGAATTTGACAAAACAGCAGGATACAAAGTCAACATTCAGAAGTCAAAGGCATTTTTGTACACCAGCAATGAAATAGAAGAAGAAGAAATCAGAAAAAAAAATACCATTTGATATAGCAAGAAGAAAAATAAAGTACCTAAGAATAAATTTAACCACAGAGGTAAAAGACCTGTATGCAGCAAACTATACAACATTGAAGGAAGAAATTAAAGAAGACACAAATAAATGGAAGCATATACCGTGCTTATGGATTGGAAGAATTAATATCCTCAAAATGTCCATACTACCCAAAGCAATTTATAGATTCAATGCAATCCCTATTAAGATACCAATGACATATTTCACAGAAATAGAACAGACATTTCAAAAGTTTATATGGAACCATCAACAACCCCGAATAGCCGCAGCAATTTTGAGAAAGAAAAACAAAGTAGGAGGGATCACAATGCCAGACATCAAACTCTACTACAAAGCCACTATACTCAAAACAATCTGGTCCTGGCACAAGAACAGATCCATAGAAGAATGGAACAGAATAGAAAGCCCAGAAATAAGCCCAGGTCTATACAGGCAACCAATATTTGACAAAGGGGGCAGAAGCATAAAATGGAGCAATAATAGCTTCTTCGACAAACGGTGTTGGGAGGGCTGGATGGCTACTTGCAAAAAATTGAAATTGGATCATCAGCTGACACCATACACAAAAATAAACTCAAGATGGAGAAAAGACTTAAATATAAGCCGCAACACCATCAAAGTCCTAGAGGAGAACATTGGCAGGAAACTCTCAGATATCCCACGCAGCAATTTTTTCACTGATATGTCTCCTAAAGCAAGGGACATAAAGGAAAGAATAAACAAGTGGGACCTCATCAAAATAAGAAGCTTCTGCATGGCTAAAGAAAACATCAGCAAAATGAAAAGGGAGCCAAACCTATGGGAAAATATATTCGCTAATGATACATCAGATAGAGGTTTGATCTCCAAGATATATAAAGAACTCACTCGACTCCACTCCAAGAAGCCAAACGATCCAATCAAAAAATGGGCAAAGGACCTGAGCAGATGGTTTTCCACGGAAGAGATACAGAGGGCCCAGAGACATTTGAAAGGATGCTCGGCATCACTAGCCATCAGAGAAATGCGATCAAATCCACCATGAGGTACCACCTCACACCGGTCAGATCGGCCATCATAAACAGATCAACAAACAACAGGTGCTGGCGAGGCTGTGGAGAAAAGGGAACCCTAGTACACTGTTGGTGGGAATGCAGACTGGTGCAGCCATTTGTGAAAGCAGTGTAGAATTTCGTCAAAAAGCTGAAAATGGAATTGCCTTTTGATCCAGTGATTCCCCTGCTGGGACTATATCCTAAGAATTGCAAAACACCAATTCAAAAGAACCTATGCACCCCAATGTTCATAGCAGCACAATTTACAATAGCCAGGTGTTGGAAGCAACCTAAATGCCCATCAGTAGATGATTGGATCAAAAACTATGGTACATTTACACAATGGAATACTACGCAGCAGAAAGAAAAAAAGAACTACTAAACTTCGCGACACCATGGGTGGAACTCGAGAGCACTATGCTAAGCGAAATAAGCCAGGGGGTGGAAGACAAATACCATATGATCTCACCTATAAGTGGAACCTAACCAACAATACAAAGATGCAAGGAAAATAATACCAGCAACACTGAAAGGAAAAGAACCAACAGAGACAAGAGGGAAGGAGGGAGGGGGGCAGGGGAAAAGGAAGGGAAGGGGAAAATCAAGGAACATATAGCAAGGACTAATGGACAAAACCAAAGGGGAAGAGGTGAGGGAGGGAGGGAGGGGGCAAGGGAAAGTGGTGGGGGGTAGGCAGAGACAAATGTATATGAAAAAATAAATTAATTTATTAAAAAAAAGAAATACGGAAATAAATACTAAAAGAAACAGAAAAAAAAGAAAGAAAAGAGAAACAAACAGAATCAAGAGGGAAGGTGGGGCAGGATAAGGGAAGGGAAGGGTCAAGTTAAGGAACATGTGTGGAGGACCTATGAACAATGCCAAGTTGGAAAAGACAGAGGAAGGGAGATGGGGGTGGGGAGCAGGGGAAAGCGGTGCTGGGAAGGTGGAGACAAATGTATAAGAACAATTAAAAAAACACTAAAAGGATTATTTCTGAAACATCTTTTCACTGAATGGCAGCCATCTCAAGTTTTGGAGCTTTCACTCAACGCACTGTATGTACTTAGCAGCATATGAAGGCACAGGATAAATAAATGATAACGATCCTTCCTATTTCATGGGTCCATCAAAGGTATGCTCTGGGTCTAATTCTTCTCCCCTCCTTTGATCCTTCTTGTCCTGACTGGCTTCAGTTTCCGCATTCCATTGGCCAAAGTTGGCCTGCATGGACGTTTTGTGTGGCCCATGTGTAGGGCTTTAAGAGGAAATCATAGCCAACATTTTAAAATTGAGATTTTACATAGAAATCTAGAATTCTATCTTCTCTTTAAAAATCAGGAGCTGTGGCAACAATGAGCCCACATTCCTGCCTGGCAACAATTGTCTAGAGCCAAGAGACAGCTGCACCCTTAGGTAAAGCATGTGCACTGTCAGTTGGCCAGAGCCCATCTGGGCTGCTCTCATTTATATGATCTGCTTGATCCTACAGACATTTCAACCTGTGGCTCTCTGGACAACTGGAGACAGTCTATGCCAGGCAGCGGGTAGGCACTTACTTGCTGAGTGAATAAATCTCCTATCCCTTTTTCTCTATCATTTTCTTATCCAGCCATATTAAGAAATCCCAGTTATTGAGTATGGCGATTTTCACTTTGGAAGTTGAATTGAACAAATCTGCTAGAGTCAGGATAGTCTAGGTTATGCTGTGGTAAGAAGCAACTCCTATATCGCAGTGCCTTACAACAACGAGTTTATAACTTGTTCACACACACACACACACACACACTCACACGCACGCATACCCAGAACCAAAAATGAAAAAAATCATCATACTTTCCCATGCATGGGTACCTACATGAGTGCACTGGTATGTTTGCGATCACGAGTGAAATAAAAACTCTGGCATATGAGCATATGAACACACAGAACTCAGTTTCAAGACTGATCAGCTTAGATTGCACAAGCTTGTTTTCATAAGACATAAAAAGGCCCCAGGATCCAAGGGAGTAAGCGATGGAGGTACAAGAATAACTGCCCTCAGTCAAGGAATTGCCCCACATAATAAAAAGAGTCTGGAAGCTTAGAGAAGGACCCGAAGGCTTTCATGTTTTTAATTTTAAGCATTTTGAACATTAAACATTTTGCAAATGCATAAATAGGCACTACTCTAGAGAAGCCTCCTCCTTTGGGCTTCTGGCTCAAGAGGGAGATGCATCCCAGGTGTCCAATAGGCAGAGAAACAGAGCTGGCCGGCCTGGGATGGAGAGAGGGGCTGGAAGTCTGGACCTCTCTACCCCCAGCAGGAGCTGTGGACAGAAAGGAAGGGGTCAGTGCCAGCTTGCATCCATTTCCCTTCCCGGCTCTCCCTTCTTTTTGTTCCACCCAGTCGAGGCTTTGCCACCGCGATTATTGCACAGAACTCTTTCTCGCTTGATTTGCCCATCTCAAGTCTTGCTGCCGGTAGTCCCTCCATCGCAGCCACCACATTCCTTTTCGCCAGGCCCCTGGTCTTTGAATATGCTCCTCCTGAGCTCACACATTCCCCCCCACCAGCTCCTCACCACCCACAGTTGCTGGCCTAGCCTCCTGAGCCTGGCATGTCAGACCTCTGTGATTGGTAGCCTCTCCAGCCTCACCCCCTTCTCTTCCAGAAGTTCCTCCAGCGTTGCTGCCTCACTCACACACTATACCCCACCCACAATTTTGGTCTGGGAGGGCCCAGCCTTCCCTCTCAGCCTCCCCAAGGGTCTCTCTGTCCTCACACCTCCTCCAGTCCTCCCTCTCCAGGCTCATCATTGAGATTTAGCTGCAAAACACGGCTCGTAAAGGCATCCGAGCGCCACATCTACACTGGAAGCTTCCCGAGGGCAGGGACCAGAATCCCCTTCCAGACTCAGCACGTGTTCCCCTATATGTGTCCTCCCCAGGCCACAGCAGATGACAAGGGTCTGCGGAGGAAAGCTCTGGGCTGAGAGTCAGGAGGCCTGGTTCTTCCCCTTGATATGCTACACGCCCTAGGGCAAGTGCCGGCCACTCTCAGGGCCCCAGTTTCCTGTCTCGAGACAGCAGGGCTCTGGACGTTTGCTGTTGAGTGCAAAGCTGGACGAACTGGTGATTCACTGGACAGCCATCGACCGCCATCTCAGGCGTCAGGCTGAGGAGCTTGGGTGCCTGGGCCCAGGGAGGTTCAACCCACCAACCCTGCCTTTCCAGTTAGGCCCCGCTTACCACAGCGCCCTCGCGTTTCCCAACTATTCCCACCCCGTGTTGCCTTTCAAGGACCAAGCTACCTGGTGCAACTCAAGGCTGGAGCGGGGAGATGGAGCCTGAAGGGGCCTGGGAAGATCCCTTCAGAATCAGCAGTGCCTCGGCCGCCTCCAGCCTCTGCTGCCACTCTGCGGAGGCAGAGGCCAAGGGCTGGTCAGGAGCTGTGGGAACCTGCAAAGAAAAGGGTGCGAGAGAATGGGAGCTGGGAACCCCCACCTCCCCGCCTCCTGTGACAAGTGCTCCTCGGTCCCCGGTTCCCCTGAAGGCTCCACCCAGCCCGAGGCCTTCTGCTCTCCCCATTCACTAAGCTTGGCCCCCCGGTCAGCGCTCTGGACCCAACTATTTTCCCAGGATCTGTGGCTGCAGTAGAGGAGGGTCAAGGGTGGCGTAGGGATGGAGGACCAGAGTTGAGCGTCTAGAAACAAGGAAAGGAGAAGCCGGGGGATGAAACCCTCTGTAAGACACACACTACCAGTAGGCAGAGACGGGCAGGATTTTGCAATATCCGAATGTGGGAGTCCGAAGGCCTGCTGACTGCCTTTACTCGTTGTGGCTTGGGCAAGCCCTTTCCCCTGCCTGGCCTGTTTCCGTTTCCATCTCTTTTCTCTAGATCTTTCCTGAGACACTAATTCCTGCCAGCATTTCCAGAATTCCCAGGGCCACGGGGAAGATTATGGGAAATCACAGGTGTCTGTGTTTTAATCTGCAAAGCACCTGGAGAGATGTGGTTACTGGGGTTACTGTCCCCGTTCAGAGACTGGTTCTGGCCTCCATAGCCCCCAAACCCCATGGGACCGGAAGGAGCAGCTTGGCGCACCTCCAGAAAGCTTTCTCTAATGGCCTCTGGACTCTCGCCTGAGCCTCTGTGGTGCCCACCATCACGGTCCTCCTTGTCAGCAGGACCTTCTATCCCATCAATCTGTTGCATATGGAATAAGAGCCTCCATTTGTTAAAGGCCTGCTATGTGGCAGCTGTTACGCTAGTCCTCTTGTCAATGCTATGGGTGCAGAATGTTGTCCCCTCTCAGTACACTGACAAACAAATGGAGACCCGGGAACGTAAACACCGTTGTCCAAAGTCTCCCGCCAAGTAGGAGGTGGCAAAGCTGGGAGAGCCCTGTCCTTGCCTGTTAGTCTGAGACGCCGCCTACTCCCCCTTCCTCCTCCTCCTCCTCCTCCTCCTCCTCCTGCACCGCTGCCTCCACTTCCTCCTTCCGCCCGCCATGGCGTCAAGCACAAGGATGGGCACCCAATAACACAATACACAACCAGCTGCATGCTTCTTCTCAGTCTACTCACGTGCTGATCAGGACATGGGGCCAGTGGGAATTCCTGGAAGGAGAAATTGTTGGTTGCTTCTTCAAGGGAGCTGAAGTCCAGGACAGAGACAAACAGTCTGGGGACAGATCCATCAGCAGAGCCCCTTGGGAGATTGCCTGCAGGAGCAGAGAGCACAGGTTGGACTCAGGTAGGAGGCAGGCCGTGGAGAGGACATGTGGGCATGTTTGGGGCTGAGGATAGGAGTCCAGAGTGTCAGAGCTGGGAAGGCCTTGGAGACCAGCTGTTCATTTTGCAACGGGGGAAACTGAGGCCCAGAGAGGAGAAGTATTTTCCCCCCAAGGTCACATGGCAAGTTGCAGTAGGGCTAGAGGTGGAACACAGAACTTCGAGACACAGAAGAAGGCGTCTGGGCAGTGGCTGGGTTGGGAGCCTCCCCCACTGGCCCCAGACTCCCCTTACCTCCCTGGCGGTTGCACAGGCGTGGGCCTTAAGCTGGGGCATGGCATTCTCTTTCCCAGCTGTGGGAGACTGGAAACAGCTTAGGAGATCCTTTCCCCCTCAGCTCGCCCCCCACGCTACCTCGCCCCCAATCTGAGGCCTCATCGCACCGTGGACCATTTCAACACCTCTCCCCAGACTTCTCCTTCCCACCAACACTTGACAGACAATGCTGATGACCTTTTGCAGCTGGGGAAGCTAAGGCCCAAGGAATGACTTGCCCAAGGCTGCGTTGAAGTTGGGTGGTAAGGCTGGTGACAGAACTACTCGTGCTCCCTATACCCAAACCCAGGTGCCCTCCTTGGACAGAGACACTACTCACTGAGAACTCCTTCTTCAGTGGCCAACTTGTTGACAAAACTGTGCTCTTCGGGAGGTGCGGCTCCAGTCTTTATCAGTCCTCGAGTCAGGCGCCTCTTTAGGCGTGCCCCCGGCTTCCTCTTCAAGGAACCCTTGGCAGGCAAGACCCGGCGGTGCTTCCTAAAGTGGGAGATTGCAGGTCCAAAGTCAGTCACGTTTAGAGGAGGCCCGCCCTCCCTTCCCCTCGTCAGACACCGTACTCACGAGACGAGCTCACGGGTCTGGAAGCGGCAGCGCTGCTCGCGGTCCTCGGTTTGGTCAGCGATGCCGTGCTTCTGGCGGCAGGCAGAGCGATGACGTGCCGATCTTCTGAGGCCACGTCGATTCCCCCGTGGGACTCTGGTCTCACGACCAGTGGTGCAGCAGGGCACGGCGGGCATTTCGCTGGGATCCTTGGTTCTAGGCCCGGGAGCAGAGGTCACGATGGCCACATGATCCCCTACCCCCCCACACACGGCCTCTGACCTTGGCAAAGCCCATCTGAAGGGGCTGGATTCTTTTCCATCCAGCTCACCGCTGCAATCACGTTGCACCCTCCCTTCCTGCTCTTGTAAGCCTCCTTCCCAAGAAGGCTCACTCACGCATAGCCTTGTTCCAAGAAACTCTTGACTTGGCTCCTGTATACTTTCAATCCAATTATTACTCTCCTTGCTTACTTTCACTCTACATAGGTCCCGCTTTCGGGTACACACATGCACTCTCGTGCCCCTTGCAACAAGTACTACTTGCCCTTCTCGTGTACTGTCCTGTGCTCTGCTATACCCAGCTAGTATCATTCCTGGCATCCACTTCCATAATTGTCTTCCGAATCTTCTGCATTCATTCACTTCCCACTCAGGAATCTATGCCCCAGGCACTCAATTCTATTTCTAGTCTCATGTATGCCCTACATTCAATTTTTTTTTCACCACACTCCATTCTGATATTTTTCTCGAAGCCCGCCTTAATCTTAATTATTTCCTTGCTGCCCCTTTAACCTGGCAGACCTTTGCACCCCATGAAAGCATATTATTTTTCAGGATCCCAAGCCCCTCTTTCAATAATTATTTCTGTTCTTCGCCTCGATCATTCATCGAACAGATGTTTGCTGAGCCCCGCATCGAATGCCAGACCCTGATCTAGTCAGCAGCCAGCTCCTCGCTGCACTAACTGTTCTCTTGCACCAACACACCCCTCGCCGCCTTCATGCAAACCCATGCGTTCCCTCCACAGCCTCCCAACAATCTCCCATGCTCCGCTCCACGCTTCGGAAACTATGCGGAAGCGAAACTATTCGGAAACTATGGGGCACCTTTGCCCCACCCCCACCCCACCCCCACCCCACCCCCACCCCCACGCCCACCCCCACACACCCGGAGTGCATCACCTCCTCTCAGGCAGCCCAATATTTCGCTGCCGCCTTCACCTCAGAATCAAAGGCAGCCTTGCCCCAGGGGCCAAAGGCCAGGGCTCAAGAGGCTGGGGCAATGGGTCTTCCCACAGGGGTCCTACAGAGTGCGTGCGTGGGCAAGGGGGAGCTGAGTGGACATCAGGAGCCGGGGGAGGTACCCTGCGGAGGCGGAAGAGACTAGACGGGTTTGGGGGCCCAGAGCAGGAGGGAGGGAGGAAAGAAGAGGCGTGGAGAACGAGGGTCCCTCTTCCCGATACTAGCCTGTGGTTACCTCAGCCTCCAGCAGCTCGTACAACGCACTGGCACGAGAGGCCTGACGGAAGGCGCTGCCACGCCCGCTCCCTTTCCCGCCCATCCCACAAAGGCCAATGAGCTTCCAGCGCTGCCTTCCCACAGTCCGCTGTGGCTGGCGACCTATGAGCTTCGAGTTCCTGAGGCTCACCCACCAGAGTCCCGCCCCCTCGCCTCCCTCAGCCTTGCTCTACTACGCCGGCCAATAACTCGTGAAGCAAAATGGAGCTTTGTGCTCCTCCAAGCCTTGTTTCCCACACTGCTCTCCCTTTGGATGGGAAATATTGCATGGGCGTGCATTTTTCACTCGTGCACTTGGTATTCTGTCGTTTGCTGTTACAAGACTCAGAATGTGTTCTTTAAGATCGATCCGTATTCCTATGCCAGGGATTCTTAATCAGGGTCGATTTTGCACCCCCGGGGGACATTCGGCAGCGTCTGGAGTCATTTTGGTCCGATTCTGTGTGTCTCTGTTTCGGAGCATACGCTCTGTTGCATACATTTCCCTATTCCCGTGCCACGGCCGCACTGGCTTAATTTTTATCTCTCGGTAAGACATCGAGGCCTCCGGTAGGGCAAGCCCCCACATCTTAGGCGTCGTCTCCAGGCATCCCTTCATTATTCTTTGCATTTTGCCCTTCCGTATAAATGTTAGGATAAGCATGCCACGTTCCCTGGAAACTCATCTGTGACAGATTTGGACTCTTTTGGTCAATGAATTTACAGATCAGTTAAGGGGGAATTGACTGTCTTCGTGATATCCAGCCTTCCTAGTCACCAGCGTGGGCTGGCTCTCCATTTGTGTGGGTATTCCTTACCGTTTTAATCTTTCAGTCTAGTATTTAGTGTTATCTTTTGTACACTCAGACCTTGTGCATCTTTTACTGTATTTATCCTAAGATACTCTGCAGTGCCTTTGCTCTTGTACATGGTATCTGTTTTAAACGACATCTTTCTATTTGTATCTAACTTACAGAAATCCTTGTGACTCCTTAAAAAGTGAATTGATCTTGCAGTCAGCCGCCATGCTCAACTCAGTGATATCTAGTGATTTCTCTGTAGGTGTTCCATGGTTTTCTGCGAACCTGTAACAGAAGTACAGCAATCAACCAGCACGTTTCTTACCGTGGTGGCTAGGACATCCACCACAAGTTGGAACACAGACGGCTACAGTGGGCATCTGTGGGCTGTTCCTAATAAAATAGACAGCCGCCAACATTTCCACGTTAACATGAGTTTGCTG